ATCCCCTTTTGCCTGACAAATTGATCTTCATGTCTATCCGCTCGTCTCTTTCTATCTCATTCACACACAGTTCCTTTTTGTATGAAGAGAAATGTATTGGCGGGACGCCCGAACATGAAGGTTTGTAAACAAAAGCCGCGTTTTCCGTCGGCTGTTTTTTGCCATACTTTCGACAGGCCAAGCAGACGGGATTAACAAACCTAAAAACACTGCACATACACGCTAAGCTTATTTGTTTGCCATCGATATCCTCCCGTAACCGGAATTATGCCCCTAAGTGGTGCTTGTGGCTTCGTCTCCGTGGTTTGTCTGTCATATCCCCCATGAGTTTGCCCGCAACAGACCCCAGATAACGACGCTGAGACACAATGATATTTCCACTCGGGGAATTTGGTGACTTTCGCTCTGTATTGCTTCGTTGGACGTTGTTTGCCACTGACTTGTACTGACTTGTACGGAGTAGTTACACTGCGAGACTGCCTCCCCCTGGACAAAAAAAAGCGCACTCACAAGGCTATTTAGTGGAGTTCCCTACACTGTTAAGAGTGTTACAGTGAGGATTCCTTGCTCTGTTAAAGTGCTAAAACGGTTTGTGAGTGCGCTTTATTTTGTCATGCTGGAGACTGCGCAAGATTTATCTGTCTGCCTGGAATGCCAAGTAGTGTGACTCCGAATGTGCCCCTAGTTGTGTCGTCATCCGCATGCGGTGGAGTTTCCACTCAGCACAGCGGCGTCATTGCGCCCAACACTTGGAATATCCTGCCTTATGTAATGTAGCAATGCAAGTCATGTGACATCAACAAAAGCAGCGTCCACTTTATCTCACTAAGTTGCCAGCCACGCAAATTTCCCCTTTTTGGGTTGGGGCGACGCCCGCCGCCCAGTGCGTCATCAGGCAGTCTCCGTACTACGTATTCTGGTATTGTCGCCAAAAACACCACTGCAAGAAATTCGATTACGCCAGGCGGCCTAGCCAACTAATGAGACTGCGCGCGTACCTGCTTTCAGAGGTTCCTTGGTCCCAGTCACTGCGCCTTCCCCATAATCGGCCACTAGGAGGTCACGCTGCCAACCACACCATCTAGAGTCTCCCCGTTCTTCCGTCCCGTTCTTACCATGTTTTGGGAGTGAGTGTTGTTGTCCTGTATCATTGTTTTGTCACCGTTGTCTTGCGCTGAAATGTGTTCTGATGTAGTAAAACGGGAAAACGTCGTACGTCAGGCTGCTTTTGGCATTGTGGGGGCGATAAGACGGGGACAGCGTCACTGGGCGTGGTCGCCCAAGCGGTCGCTCCTTCCCTGTCGCATGTCTCGGGCTTAGCGACAAACGGAGCAGTCGCCCCAGCGAGCCAGGCTCCATTATTAGCCATTCCCCTCATGGGATGGCCTGGCCCAGGACCTCATTCGTCTGTGCCGCCGCTTTCCTGTACGAAGTACGTACCCAGGTACCCATACACCCCGTCCTCCCTCCACTTCCTTCGTTCCGCTGTTCCTCTCTTGCTCTTCCTTTTCGTCCTCCTCTTTCCTCCTTCAAAACATCAACACAGCGACTCTATCCAAATCATCGCCATTTTCCTCGGATTCTACGGATGCGCAACATCTCGTGTTCGGCCTTGCAATCACATTTTCTCTCTTTTGTGTCCTTGTTGCTGTCGTTTTCCTGTTCCCGGTCATTCCGTCCTCTCTACATTCGTTTCTCTCGATACCCGTCACAATGAAGGGTGCTTTGTTGTTGACCGCAGCTGGGCTGCTCGGCTCCGCCCAGGCTGGCGGTGTCCACTCGTTGAAGCTGAAGAAGGTCCCTCTTGCGAAGCAGCTGGTATGTTGACTCCGTCGATGCTTATCGTGCCTCCCAATATGACATGCCATTGGCCAAATCAACCATCCGTTTGTTTTGATTGGCATCGCCATCGGCGTCTCATCGCTGTTCCTACCGCCGGTCGCACACTTTGCTAACTGTCGGTTGTGACAATTAGGAGTCGATCCCCATCGATGCCCAGGTTCGCGGACTCAGCCAGAAGTACATGGGCGGCCGCCCTGAGACTCATGCCGATGCCATGTTTAAGAACACGGCTGCAAGCATCGAGGCTAACCATCCGGTGCCTGTCAGCAACTTTATGAACGCACAGTGTACGTCGAAGCGAATTATTCTCGTTGTCTTGCGAACAACGAACGGCGGCTAACTAGTAATAGACTTTGCTGAGATCTCCATTGGCACTCCGCCCCAGAGCTTCAAGGTTGTCCTTGACACCGGCAGCTCGAACTTGTGGGTTCCCTCGCGCGAGTGCGGTTCCATCGCCTGTTATCTTCACTCCAAGTATGATTCGAGCGCCTCGTCGAGCTACAAGGCCAACGGCTCGTCGTTCGCCATCCAGTACGGTTCTGGCAGCCTGAGCGGCTTCGTGTCGCAGGACACTGTCTCCATTGGCAACCTCAAGATCGCTAAGCAGGACTTCGCCGAGGCTACCGAGGAGCCTGGTCTGGCCTTCGCCTTTGGCCGCTTCGACGGCATTCTGGGCCTCGGCTACGACACCATCTCGGTGAACAAGGTCGTGCCCCCCTTTTACAACATGATTAACCAGGAGTTGATTGATTCGGGTGTCTTTGCCTTCTACCTGGGTTACTCTGACGACGGCAACGACTCCGAGGCTGTGTTTGGTGGTGTCAACAAGGACCACTACACCGGCAAGATTACTACCATTCCCCTGCGCCGCAAGGCCTACTGGGAGGTCGACCTTGACTCCATCGCTCTTGGCGAGGATGTTGCTGAGCTCGACAACACCGGTGTGATCCTGGACACCGGCACCTCGCTGATTGCCCTCCCCTCCAACCTGGCCGAGATGCTCAACACCCAGATTGGCGCCAAGAAGGGCTACAACGGCCAGTACACCATTGACTGCAGCAAGAAGTCCAGTCTCCCGGACGTCACCTTCACCTTGAGCGGCCACAACTTCAGCCTGCCTGCGTCGGACTACATTTTGGAGGTGTCGGGCAGCTGCATTTCGACCTTCATGGGCATGGACTTCCCTGAGCCGACCGGCCCGCTGGCCATCCTCGGTGACGCCTTCCTGCGCCGCTACTACTCTATCTATGATCTTGACAACAACACTGTTGGCTTGGCCCTGGCTAAGAAGTAAGCGGGCAATCGTCGCCGTAATTTTGACAAAGCAACAGTCATTTATTTGAGAGGTCGAAGAGAGGGCCGGACTGTGATAGTGTTGCGAGTGTTTACCTCTTACTGCGGGCGCTTTCAGCCCTCTTTTGGCCTCTTCATTTTGTTTCTGTGTCTCTTTATCTGTTTGCTATTTGTCCTACGCACGGTTTTGTTCGAATTCGGTATTTTCTTTCATTCGTCCCGCGAACGCGCGGCTGCAGTCCGCTGTAATCGCGTGACGAAGAGTCGTCTGTCAAAGTCAAGACTAACATTGTTGATTGCGGTTGTTGCTCTTGCTGGGGTGTGTTTGTATTTTGTTAGCATTATTATTTAACCCCCTCACGTCTTTGGTCTTTACCCTACTGTACCGCTACCTCGCTATACGCTCATCACGTCACCACAAACATGTTTTTTTATTTATCGTTATATTTTAGCCAGTGTTTCTATTAGTGCGTCCAATTGTGAACATAGTAATTAAGGAACACGTTCAAAATGCTATCTCAGCACGCGGCGCAAACAGCCGCGTCTGCTCATCAAAGTTTCAGGTTTTTGGTTGTCAAACCGGCCAGCTTCATGGGCCACAGGCCCACGTTCACCAGCGACTCAGGAGCCCAAGTAATATCACAGATTTCTTAGAGAGTACTTACTGGGAAGATTTCTCAGCGCCGTCGCAAAGTACCTAGCTACATTTTCGACTGCTTAAGCCTTTTTATTAGATTTATAACGTGTACGAAAATCTCTGCGTCATATGCGCCAGCTATATAAAGCATCAACATGTTTTCGGGGTTTATTTTGCTTTATTTTATTTTACATTTTTACATAACAACAATGGGTTGTGATTTTTTGGGTTAGACGTTTTTTTTTTTTTTTTTTGGTTTCAGCTGCGAAATAATTAACGGGCATGGGATACTATTTCGCATGTAGGTGTAGCTTAGCGCAACAAATACGCCTGACGTATATCCTACCAAAAATTTATCGAAATTTAATTATTCAAGCTCTAGAATTGGTGATATTGGTGAATGTGTCTGCCTGGGATTACACGTCGTATTGAAAGAAGATGTTATTCTCATGCCTTTCGAAGGACAAAAATTTAAATTGGTATGCTACTAACCGAGTTATGGCTCCCCATATTCACGTGACGCAAGTTACAGCCAATCAACCCGCGATTTGGCCCGCAGCAAGGGACACTGTATTCCACTCTATCTTTCCCATTCTTTTCGTCTGTTGGCGCCAAATTGCGTTCTGTCTCAAACTTCCCTTGCGTTTTGGTTACTGTTTGGCTCCTGCCCGTTCTCGCGCGTTTTGCAGTTCCCCTCCTGCCACGAAAACGTAAAGCCGCGAGTGACACCAGCAAACCCAAGCCCAGGGAGTTTTGACTACACGCTTTCTTCTTGCTCGTTTTTACAGCCACGTCCATCCTTCGTTTTGCGGCCCCATTTCTCCAATCCCACCCATTCGATGATCCATCGCCATTGTGCACTGCATCGTCGCCAATTTTTTCTCGCTGACTATCATTTCGCGAACGAACGCGAAGAAGCGCGAAACAGGGAGCGCAACAACGGCCTCACTTACCCCAACCCTAACGGCTGCCAACGCTGCATTCGACGATCGCCATAATTTACCAATACATATTTGCATCACGCTGCACGACGCGATTTTCTTGCGAGATTTGTCCTTTTTGACGTTTACATCCCCTTTTCCCACCGGCTTCTGCCCCAGGCTCGACGCTCGACTGATTTCTCGCGCGTTGTTGCCCGCCCTTGGCCCTCGACATAGTATTTCGCCCATCGCGACACACCTGTTGGACACTACAAGCCCATTCTGATCGACGTTGGCATTCATTGACAATGGCTGCCGCCAACGCGGTCAGTGCGAACGGCTTGTCCAGCAACGCTGCTGTTGCGTCTTCTGCAGCCGCCGCGCCGGCAAGTCCCAGTGGTAGTAGCAATGGGAGTGAAAACAACGGCAACGGTACGGCAGCGACGAAGCGGAAACGCGATGATAGCAGCAATAGCGACGAAGTGATGGCCGAAGCAGGTGCATCGCCATCTGCAGCTGCGGCAGGATCGCACGCCACGGCCATCAACCAAATTAAGGAGGCCTCGTCTGGCTCCGCATCGCCCGCCCTCTCATCGAAGCCGAACAACGGAAATACAGGAACAGCTAGCAACGGCAGCCATGCAGCGCCGGGTCCTATTGTGTCGACGACCGCGGGCAACCGGGACGAGAAGGGCCTGATCCGTGACTATTTTGGCGTTCTCCAATCGTATGCCCAGATATCACCCTCCCCTGGCCCTTATCATCTGTACATGTACCGTCTTACTAACAACGTGGCCCAGCTTCGACAATTCCACCCCTCCTATTCTCTCACGACGACTGCTGCCTGACTCCCCTGTATCAGACGAGCCGGAAGCCAAACGGCAAAAGGCTGATGGCTCTGCCAGCCAACCCAACTCGCAGACAGCGAAGTCTATTTCCGACAAGGTCAAGAACGACGCTTACATGTTGTTGGACGACCTCGTGTTGGACATTGCTGCCGTTGTTCGCAGCGAACTGGCCGCTCTCGATGCACCCACACCAGCCGAATCCGAAGGCAAGACAGAAGGCGAAGCCGCAAACGACGCCAAGGAGGACGTTGACGCGAACGACGCAACTGAACCGAAGCAAAATGCATACAATACGGCAGACAAGGACGTTAGAGCGAAGCGAGCAGCCATTGCGCATATTGCTAAATTTCGCGAGGCCGCATACGACCTCTATCGCCGAGAAACTGCGTACCCTAAATCTGGACCACTGCATGGCAAAACAGGAGGCAAGATTGGCAATAATGTGTCTGTGTCTATATCGTCTTCGAACCGGGGCGAGCCTGTTTTGACCGTCTTTGGTAATGCGCCTGGTCCCCGGCAGCTATTTTCAAGTCTGCCCTCGCGCGGGTCGGCTGTCAAGGCGCAAACCCCCTGTGGAGCTGATGATGGTGACGACCAGATCGGCGACCTTGTCCGGGAAGACATCGATGTCAGCTTTGGTGGTAACATGACCCTCACCCGCGTTTTCGCGCCGCCTCCTCCTGACAAGAATAACCGCGCCCCGACTTTTGGCGAACTGTTTCCGTCTCCCCGTAACTTGCCTCCGTTGCAGCCACCAAAGGCACCAAAGAGCACGACCAAGTCCACAACACTGGGGTTCTACCATCCAGAGCTGGCCGAGAGATCCAAATATCGAACGGGTTCTTATTCTACCCAACAAATTACGATGGGCCACTGGCTTGACTACAGCAATGCCACACCGTCATCGCAGATTAAGACCCGCCAGCGTGAACGGGCCCAAAGCTTGGCCGGCCGCAAGCCATCCGCAACGGAACTCGAGCTGTCCGAGATGGAGTCTCTTTTCCGTGGCGCTTTTTCCAGCTTTGCGCCGTCAAAGGATGACTCTGCCGCAATTGTGCCTGCTACCCAGGTCGGTCGTATGTGGTGGCAGCGCGTTGGCCACCGTGTTTTTCAACGTATGGTTGAGAAGGAGCTTAATACCGACGAGCACTATGTTGAGGACGCCTCGACACCTGACGACTTGGCTTCAGCTAATGTGCTTGATGAGGAGGCTCTACAGAAAACAATCGCCGAGTGGGACGATAGTCTGGTCGACCCATCACTGGAAGAGGTCATGGGAGCGAAGTCGGATGCGGACAACGATGCCGACGAGATGCTCCAGGAAGTCTCGGACTTGGTTATTACGCTCGCGTCGTACCAGCGCAACCGCAATCTCACACTGCCGACCAGCCAAGACCGCTTCTCGGCCGATCCTGTCAACGCGGACATGCTACGGAATGGCACACTCGCTCAACAACCCAGCGAAGAAGAAATGCTCACGTACCAAACGCTCAAGGCGCAGCTGTCCCTTATCATCCAGGCCCTTCCCCCCTACGCTGTGGCACGTCTCAATTCGGACAAGCTTGAGGAGCTGAACATCAGCACTAAGATTGAGGTCCGCGGAGAAGAGTACCACGGTATTTTGGACGAGGACGAATCTATCGTCCGTGCCCGCCAAGCTGCCCAGGCGGCTCAAGCTGCGACCAGTTCACCGCAGCGCACGCCAGCTCATAGGTCAGCGAGCGTCTCGGTGAACCATAACTACGGCCCGCAGTTCAACACTCCAAGCAGGACCCCAATGGTTTCTGGTGGTGCCTTCTACTCTGGCCAACATCAGACGCCGGCCCGTGCAGGCCCACCGCATAGAGCGTCCGTGGCCGGTGCTGGCGGTACTCCTGCGGCTGCACTCCCCCCGCATGTCCGACCGGGTGCACAGGCCCAACCTCCGTTCCGGCCATCGCCTAATGGTTACAACTACGGTCCTATGGCTAAGGCCCAGCCACATATGCAGGCTCGGCAAGGGATGCAACACCAGCCACCAGGCCCTGGTTTTGCACCAGGCCAGCAAGTGTCTCCGCATATGTCACCACAGCGCGTTGCCTCGCAGCCTCTACCGGGCTCTTATGGATCGCCAGCTATGCAACCAGGCACCCCGCAACAATTCCGCTATCCACCGGGCACACCGGGCTTTCCGCAGCAAGTTCCACTTCCGCCGGCACCGACACCTGGGGCGCCACAGCAGCAGCAGCATCTTCAACAACAGCAGTTGCAGCAACAACAACAGCAGCGCCGTGCCTCCCATAGCATGCCGTATCCTTTATCACCAGCGAATGGCGTGGCGCACGTCGCTACTCCGCAACACTCGATCCACCTGCCTCCGCAGCATGTTGGAAGCCCACAGCAGCGATTCCAGCAGGCTCCGATGACACCGGGAACGCCCCAGCAGCAGCAGCAGCAGCTTATCCGGCAGCAGCAGCAACTCATGGCACGGCCACCGTTCACTGGTCAAACTGGTGTTCCATCGCACCAACAACAGCAGCGCCACTTTAGCAGCGCGCCTGGCGGACCTTCCATCGGTGCCGGCCCCTTTGGCTACCATACGGTGATGGACCAGCCGCAGCAGCAGCGCCTGATGGAGCAAGCACGGGCACGAGCGTCGGCACATGAGCGGACAATGGGGTTTACGGACAAGATGACGCAGGGAGGCATGGGCCAAGTCGCTGGTCTAGCTGGGATCGGGCTTGGTGGTGGTGGAGGTGGTGGCGGCGGCGGTGGCATAGGAAATGGTGGCGTTGACATGTCTAAGTTGGCTGCGGCGCGCGCGAACATGCCTGCTGGCGGTGCCAATATGCCGCGGCCTGGGCAGTACCAAACGCAGCCATCACCCCAACCCCAGTTCCAGTCACCAGTGCCACCACAGGCCTACCTGCAGCAGCAACAGCAGCAACAGCCGGCCCGTCCCCAGGGCCAACCATCACCAGCAATGAACGGCACACCACAGCCACATCACATCCCGTCTCCGTCGCCAGTGCCCATGAGCGCGTCGCCTGTGCCCGGTGCCGGATTCCAGCGACCACCATAAGGAGATTGTTGTTTGCATGTAAAGGCTGTTGTACGGTACAACCAGGTGGTGCTGTATTTTTGGGGCTTACGGCTACGATGGGAATAAGGACCAGGTTTGCAGTATTGCGCCACCTTTATTTTGGTTTTCTTTTCGTTTCCTTTCTTTTCGTTTCGTTTTTGGTCGGGTCTCTCGAATCTCTTTTGGTGCACCTTTCGTTTGTTTGCACTGGAATCGTGGTTGATTTTACTGGCTCTACTGCTGTATTGTTTTTTTTATCCCGCTGACTGGGAAGGGTCTTGAAAGTGTAAAACTAGGTACCTTGTTGGTTCTCAGACCATTGTTTTTCTTAATCTTTTCTTTTCTTTTCAGTTATACATTAGTTTTCATTGCCTATCTCACACTTTTTTTCTTTTCATGCGTGTGGTCCTTTTTCGTATTCACCGTCATTGCATTTGGCCTAGCTCAAATTAATATTGCTCGCAACACCTTGTCACTTTTGCGCTAGCTGATGCTGTGCGACGTCGCTTATTGGCGTTGCATATTTGACCGGGTACTGTGGCTGTCGTGTTGGGTCCCACATCAAAGATACTTTCTCATTGTACAGAAAACCAAACGAGTACTTGTATGGGGTTGCAGTTTGGTGTGTGGCCGGAGCCGTCACTTGTGTTTCTGGTTCGTGCCTTATTTGGGTGGTCCGAGTGCCCGGCCCCATAATTGTCGGGCGGCGGAAGTCTGGTGCCAGCCATGCCGGCACAGTCCTGGGTGGCCAAGGGGCAGCTCGTCATATCATGGGAGTTGACCCTTGTGGGTGTTGCCTCTACGAATGTACTTACGAGTTAACGGGAGTGACCTGTCATGTGCAACGGTGTCGGCCTGATTTCCGATTTTGTTTCGGCGACTGAGCTTGTCGTTCCTGGCATGCCTAGGTAGGCTATTTGGGACTTTCTTATTCAGCAATGCAACCCGCCTAACGTTCTCGATATATGCACCATCTCGAGGAAGAGGAAGCAGTTAAAGACGATTCAAATTTCATTTATGTGAAATACGATTCTCACTGCCCGGACTTACAGCAGGCGAACAGAGCCCTTACCGTCCGTCTGCGACCGAGGAAAGACGGGCATCTTAAACGGACAGATTTTAATTCTTTGCTATCTTATGACTGAGAGATTGGAACATGGAGCTCGATTTACGGCACTGTTTAATGTAGATTGCTGATAGCTCACCAAATTGTGATGCCTGAGTTGGCTGGAAGGAACTACACGGAATGCTTGGCCGCTTTCTTCATATTTTTTTTTTTGACGTTCTTTCTTATTTACCCCCTTGCGACCCGTGGGGACGTGAAGTGTACAATATACAGATGTACGGACCTGTCGACAGTGCATGGGGCATGCATAGCTCAAAGCTCGCATCGTTCTGTGCAATGCCCAACGCTGAAACAACAATACTAATGGCGCACCTTGGTCGTAAAAATGTTGAAAGAATATTGGCTCACCTCTGACTCACTGATAAGGTTGCATTTTAAACTGGGAGCAAAACGAGCTGAGGTGAATGCCCCATAGAAAGGCCTGGAACGATTTGGAAAACAGATACTGACAAGATCGCCAGACGGGGGTAGGGGATTAAATTAACCGACACCTTTGTTGTTGTGTCCATATGACTTTTTTATGGGGCGTGCGAAACTTACATGTACATTGCGCGTGATGTTGTTGGTCTGAGCATTTATTGACATCGAGAAGTCGCTGAGACTTTGGCTGGCAAAGCTGAAACGGGGGTGACTTCCAAGTTTGTGTTGTAAGGCCTCTGGAAGGATCAGTGGATCAAAACCAGGTATTAGAGCCAATCACAGCGTGTGGCGGAAAAAAGTCAAGTCATATGTCGGCCATTAAAGAGATACACAGACAGACATTTCAGAACTTTTCCAGTTTTGAAAGCTATCACATGTGCCTACGTTCACTGCTACTTCTCTTCGTCTTCAGGGTCAAATCTGACCAGATGTTGTGGGACTCCACCTGTTAAGCTAAATTCACAGTAGTAAAGATAGTAATTATGGTACGGGCCGAAGCTGGAGAGTGGGTAAATACGGCATCTGTTTAGCCTTTCACTCCAAAGCCTCCAAGGAGAACAGAAATAGATAGAAAATATCTAAATAGTCGTGACTTTTGCTGTTGAAGGTAGATGACACGACAGAATGGAACTCAAAACAGAGTGGCAAACACTCTTAAGTTGAGAAAGACCTTTCAAGCTGGAGATAACAGATGACGCTGGCCAGGTATGCTGGATAATAATTGCCGGTGTACCATCAAGCTCTTTGGCTGATTTCAGGAGCTGGTGGGTGTCTGTTCTTTGGCCTTCCGTTCTTTGTTCTTTTTGTCCTCGGCGTCACCTCTGTGCCAACATCGCATCGTGATATCCGTGAAGGTCTCGCCGAGCTGCATGCGGTCATTTTGAAACATCTTGTTGCCCGCGACACCGGGGTGATATGTGATTGGACTATTTTGTAGACAGACCGGTGGCATTAGTTCGAGTACGAGACCCATCCGAAGGAACAATAATAGTAAGTTGCTCACGAATCACCGGTTTCTCCATCCACGGCCTCAATTGACGTGGTTGACGCCATTGGCGAGGGACTAGCGAATGCTTTCTGCCGTTTAAGTACCTCCTTCTGGTTGGCTGCTGTCGTTGCGTCCATGGTCTTGTCGAATTTTCTGCTGGACGGAGTCTGTTTTGACTGGTGATGGGAACTGGACTTGTTGGAGAGTAAAGACAAAAAGAGAAGCCCATACCATCGGCATAACAAGAAGCAGTCACTCGACTCCTTTTATATTTGGAAAGAGAGATCACAGTAGATCTTATCTCTTCTGCTGTCAGGCATGAAGTAAAGTCCTATGTTCTTTTTTTTTTTTTTTTTTTTTTTTTTGTTGTGTGTGTGTGTCTAAATTCTCAATGACGAGATGACTTTGCGTCAATGACTAGAAGGAGGACGAGACTGATTTACAAACCAGTGTCGTACACTGACGGGGGCCGCACCAACCCGCTGGCAAACTCTGGGGATTTAAGGCTTCTCCCCTCTTCCGTCTGTTTCTTTTTCTCTCCCGTTCAATTTTTTTTAGTTAAGAAATAAAGGGAGCCTTGAGGACCGGTAATGAAATGGTTGGGGACTGTGTTAGCCCCTTAAGGGATTTCCATACGTACTCTTCCCCTCAGGGTAATTTGTTTTTCCCTACTGTCTTCTTTTTGACTGGATTTGAGCTTCAATTTGATTTCTTTTACTATGGCATGTAATTTCGTTTCGCTATAAAGGTTTATGGACGTCGGAATTTCAGTAACCTGGTCTACGCTTCTCAATGACCTTGAGCAGAAGAAAATATTTCGAACGGTTGTCTTGTTCGTTACCTTAGGTCAAATCATACGATAAAAAAGAGAGAGATGATTAGAGATGCGGGACTGTAGGCGAGGCAAAGATTTGAAGCCACTGGGCCGAGAGTATAATGCTCTCATGGTGAATCTTGTACATTTCTGCCCACAGTTGCACTCGCGCCTTCATGTGCTCAAGACGTGTTATGTGGGGGGAAAATCCTCATTAACGGAAAGGGAATGTCTCCAAAGATCTTGTTTAGTGAGCACTTAGTAAAGAATTAAAACGGTAATCATGTAGCTGAATTATGGAGTACACCAAATATTGGGAAAGTATCCGAACTGCCGTTCTGCACAGAGTTTGAAATACGCCCCGTAAAATACAATTCAGACATGGACACAATATCCGATGTGCCCTAACCCGCTCTTTATGCCAGATATACCGGTAGCCTTACGTGAAGTACTGCTACAAAGCAGTACTTCAAAAGTTCCAGTTGTGGTGGCCTCATTTTAGTTTTAATCTGCATGATGTTGGGCTTTCCGCGCCTGAAGATTCTGCTTTTGCATGATTTTATTGATCATGTATTGCATTTTTAAAGAAATATAACCATATTCTGTATGTCTTCTTAACGAATCAGCTACCATAGGGCGACGAGGCTCATACAGCGCACGTTAGCATATGGCTCTGATAAACAGTCCACATCGCGATATTTACAGCCTGTATTACGCGTTCTTAGGCTCCGAAAAGAATCGTGCCCGAGAACTTCGCACTACCATTGCGGACACAATGAACATAATAAAAGAAAGAACAGAATATTCGCTAGTTTACGGTGGCTTTCAAGGCAATACACGCGTCTTAACACAGTTTGGGACTTGTGGATCCTGCCCATAATCAAGGGCGTCGTCGATTGTTTGCATCCGAACTTTGCTAGTATATGAAACTTGTCAATTTCGGGCCATACACAAAGAAAAGAAACCCTCCGGGCAGTAAATCCAGGTGCTGTGGCTATACGTCCAAAGATGATTTAACTCTTATACTCGTTCCACTGCCGTCATCGACGTTCGACGTTGTGTATCAGTTAGATCCACGTATGCCAAAATGCTATTTCAGTGCAGGAGCAGAATAAGAACAAAAAGGCAATTTGTTGTGCCGTAGCTCTTCACACCCACACACTGAAAAAACACCCAAAGAATGATTTGAGTACACACCGTGGAGAGAAACTGGACGTCAGATCAACATCACGTGATAAGACACGTGTAATGCGACCGGAATCTTTGTTTCCTTTCAGGCCACGGCCCGTACTGTGGCCCCACCTCGTTTGCCAAGTTCACCACGTTATCGTGGAAAACAAGCTCGCATTCGACGGTTTCGCCGGAGCTGCGTTATTCTAGCGAGCCCGACGCTTCGTCCTTTCTCTTGCATCAATCGCGCTCTCAACCGCGGTAGGTGTGTGACATCCCGACCGTGTGGCCGCGACTGGCTCTACTGCTACTTTTTGCGTGTCCGCCCCTCCACTACTTCTCCATTGTCACCACTATTACCTCATCCCCAACCATGGCTAGCTTCATTCGGGGAAAGCAGGCAGGCATGCAGAACGACCTGTCTGCGGGAATTGTGCCGGGCCTACTCGCCCCCGAAGAACAGATACGATATGGCGTCGATTCACAGATCAGGTATGTCTCCGTCCTCACACGCATTTCTGCCAGACGTTTGCTCCGGACTCCCTGCTGAGGCTTTGCGTACAGCTGCATAGCTTATGATCCGGTCCAGTCGCTCATGGCCGTGGGCACGACCCAGTCGCGCTTCGGACCTGGCACGATCTACGTTTACGGCCGCGGACGTGTCAACAAGGTGATCCGGCCCAAGGGCGGTGCGTCGCTGCGGCAGATCCAGTTCAGCGCAAACAGGCTGGTGAGCCTGGACGCGAAGAGTGAAATCGCGATGTGGAATCTCGACACGGGCAACCGCATTGGCGGCTCCGTCTCAGCGGGTGCGGCGGTGTGCATGGTCACAGACCCCATGCTGGACTGGGCGTTCCTGGGATTGACCAACGGCGACATTATCGCATATGACCTCGACCGCGAGCGGCTCTCGCCTTTCCGTGTCCAGAATCTCTGGCGCAACCGCCCAGGAGGCGTTGACCCCCGGGTCCGGGGCGGTGGGCCAGGCACGGATGCGTCGGCGGCCATGAACCTTGTGACCATGCAGCTGCACCCGCGCGATGCCGGCCAGCTGCTGATTGGCTACTCCACGGGCGCCGTACTCTACTCGTTCAAGCAGAATGAGGCAATCAAATACTTTGAATATGTCGTGCCGCCCGGCGCTCCTGGTGGCAACGGCGAGACGCCCCAGGTCCAGCGCAAACCACGTCTGACACAGGCCGTTTGGCATCCCACAGGCACCTTTGTGCTGACGGCACACGACGACGGAAGCCTTGTGTTCTGGGATCCCCGAGACGGCCGCGTGGTTATGGCACGTAGCCTCTACGATGTTAGCGTCGACCAACCCGTTACCCGCCCGCCAGGCGCTCGTGCCATCGACCCGTTTGTGCAGATTGCTTGGTGCTGCAAGAAGAACCCCGACGACACGGCCCTCTTGATTGCCGGTGGCCTGGCCATCGACGAGCCTGAAAAGGGCCTCACGTTCCTTGAACTTGGACCTACTCCTGTGTACGCGACGTCGTCGTGGCAGATCTTGTCGGACCACTTCAAGGGCAAACGCCAACAGCTGCTGCAGATTCCACAAGGCACAGAAGTGACCGGATTCTGCCTGGCCCCGCGCCAGTCGCCGCATTTTGGCGGCGCAAGCGACCCCATTGCCGTCTTTGCCCTTTTAAACTCGGGCGAGATGCTGACGTTGAGCTTTCCCTCGGGCTACCCCATCAGCCCGACCAACCAGCTGCACCCGTCGCTCTCCTTCGTCAGCCCATTTGTAGGCACGTTTACAGTGTCAACCATGGCGCGTGAGCGGTGGCTGGGTCTGACGGAGAGTCGCAATTTAGGCGAGCGGCTACTCCGTGGTGGTGCTGAAGCACCGAAGCCACGTCGGCGCTACGAACGCCGCGATATTATCCAGACAGCCCACGCAGACGGCACCGTGCGGCTGTGGGACGCTGGCCATGCCGACGAGATTGAGAACCAAGCGCAGCTGCAGGTTGACGTGGCGCGGGCCGTCGACCGTGACCATGATGTCGACGTTTCTGCCTTGTCTCTGGCGGCTGGCACAGGCGAGTTTGCCATCGGCACGCGGCAGGGCGAGGTGGTTCTGTTCCGGTGGGGAGCCAACAAGTTCTACGGCCGAGGCGGAGGTGATGGCTCGCAACCATTGAACTCCAACCCTGGTGGCTTCACCGACATCAGCAGCCGCACCGAGGAGAACTTACAGGACGGGTTGCAGCCGTGGGTGCGCTACGAGATGATGCAAGGGCCGATCACGGCACTCAAGGTCGCAGACGTGGGCTTTGTGGCGGCGGGATCCGAGAACGGGTTCCTGAGCATTGTTGATCTTCGGGGACCTGCTGTTATTTTCCATGGCTCGATGGCCGACTTCGCCAAGTCTGAGAAACGGTCGTCGTTTCTCAGCAAGCACAGTAGCACCAGCAGCTCGTTGTCCGGCAAGGATTTCCCAACTGTCTTTGAGTTTGCCGTGCTGTCACTGGAGGGGAAGTCGTACTCGAGCCTCGTGTGCCTGGTGGGCACGAACCAAGGAAAAGTAATCACGTTCGAGCTGCTCCCTTCGGGCGCTAGCTACACCGCTAAGATCGCGGGCATTGCTGAGCACAAGGACCGCGTCGTGGCCATCTGCCCGATTGTATCAGAGACGGGCGCACCGGCATCGGCCACAGGGGCATCTGTTGCTGGGCTCCGGAGTGGCCAGCACGTCAACGGCACACTCGTGGTGGCGACGCAGAAGGAGGCCCGTATATTCAAGCCAGTGGCTGCCAAGGGAGCGTCCAAGTCCTTCGACGACGCCTTCTGTTACTCGGCTTCGGTTGCCCATTACGAACAACACGGCTACGCACTTGTGGGCGTCTTTGGTGACGGGACTCTGCGGACATTCTCGTTGCCCGGCCTCAAGGAGATCAGCAAGGCTCCTCTCCGCGGATTTGAGCCATCCCGCCACGCCGACGCTGTGGTCACGCCGTCCGGCGATGTGTACGGCTGGTCCGGCCCGTCGGAGCTGGTGATTGTTTCGGCCTTTGGCCGCAGCGCAGGCCCCGTAAACCCACAGGAGGGTACCATGGGCGACACACTCGTCAATCCCGAGCTGGCAGTGCCGCCGCGGCCGACAATCAGTAACCTGCAGTGGATCTCGGGCACGCAGTATGTGTCTCCTACGGACCTCGACTTACTGATTGGCGGCCCCGGCCGGCCACCGAGCAAACGCATGCTGGCGGCGGCGGCGGAGGAAGAGCGCCTGGCGCGGTATGGCGGAGCAGGTGCGGGTGGAGCGTATGGCTCGACAGCTGGATTGCAACGCGGTGTGGCCAGCCAGGAAGGCTGGGGCCAGTACCTGACACGACAACTCAACCAGCGGACAGAGAAGTTAAATTTCATGAGCGACAGCCTCGACAACCTACAGGAACAGAGCCAGGGTTGGGCGGATGACGTTAACAAGTTTGTATCGCGGCAGAAGCGCGGACTCGTTCTGGGAGTGGTGAAGAGCAAATTTATGTAGGCCCCAGGATGGGGAACTCCAGGTGCCATCACATGAAAACATTTCCATTTCAATACGTTCTTTACACTGGCATTTGTTTCACGTTGCTTTGGATTTAGTGAAGGCTTGTTTGATTATCGACCAAGAACAACGATCTGCTTCGCAGACCGACCAGTCATTCCTTGGTCTCGGAAGCAAGGAGAAGATTTCTGGGCCGCGATATTATTTAAGAAGGAAAAGAAGAAAGCAACCACGGCCGGCCCACGCCCGCTCTAGCCCTGTACACCAACTGCAAACATCACCACGATCTAGTCATGTCGATCTAGTGCGTGTCCATGCCGGGAAGGGATGTGACCCCTAGATATGTTAGTGAATTGACCAAATAGCTCAGAACGTACAGGAGAGGAGCAGGATACTGCATTGATCACTTGATCACAAAATCACAAAATCGCAAAAATCATAAAAGACACTTACATCCGTCAATGTTCTCGTTGACCATCTCGCGGACCTTGCACTTGTTGGCCTCGGTCATGCTCTGCTTCTTGATGGCACCGCAGCCGTCATAGAAGCACTCGGACTTGGCCATGGCGCGCTCGAGAGCATCACCCTTCCAGCCGAACATGTAGTCAGCGTGTGTGCCGTAGCCACTGTTGCCCTCGAAACTCCAGACAAACGGCTGCTGCTGGCCCTCCTTCCACAAGCCGTTGAACTTGGTCGTGTCCCAGACTGTCTCGTACACGACCTGCGGCACGCGCACGGGGTGCGACGAAGGGCAGGGGCCGGCGTTCATGAAGCCGTCCATCTTGATGGTGTTGTACATGTGCGACTGGTGGTCGGGGCTGTCGAGGTTCTTGCCATCCCAGCAGGCGGGGAAGTGGTGCGTCACGAAGATGCCGGCCGGGCAGGGCTTCGTGGGGAAGTCGCGCATCTCCGGGCCACGGTTCAGCAGCGTGGTCAGGCAGTTGTACGACAGGCCAATGTGCGTCTTGCCCTCGGCCGCTGTCGAGCTAGGCTTGCCGACTGTCATACGGAAGCCCGGCTTGAAGGTCGTAATCGGCTGCTGCTTCAGGTTGTCACGCGACAGGTCGTACTGTGTGTAGTACACAGTAATACCGCCGGTGGTGCCGGACGCGAGCGCGGCGTTGTTAACAACAGGCACGCGGTGGTACGAGCCGTTGGTGGGGCTCTTGAAGTACATGACGGCCGTCCAGTAGTTGGAAAAGTCCTCTGACATCTGGCAGGTCGTGCAGGTGCCGCGGGCACCGACGTCGCCGGTCATGGTGGCGTTGAACTGGTTGCCACCGACAATGTGGTGCAGGTGGGAAGACGGCGTCGAGTCGGGCTGCACGACGGGGTCGAGGCGCTGGATGGTCAGCGTTGAGCAGCCGAAGCGCAGACCGGCCTCGGCCGTGGCAGCGAGGGCAGCCACAACAGTTGCGGCGAGAGACTTCATGGTGACCTAAGGGCGCACAAGCAACTGATAGGTTTATAATGTCAACAAGCAGAGTTATAAAGGGCGCCGGAGATGTTGCAACTGGGGTTGGGCAGAAGGAGGAAGGCGAAAAGGAAGACGACGAAAAAGAAGAAGAAGAAGAAAAAGAGAATCAAGAATCAAAAGATGCCAAGGCCACCTTGAAGGCTCTTGGTCTCGTCTATATATACGCAGGAATGGCACGAGTAGCCATCACAAGAGGGTGTGCCCGAGGCAATGTCCTTCTCGCCTCGACTCAAGTCTTGTGTCTGGGGATGCCGATGCTTGGCAAAAACAAAACAAATCCTGCACGCTCTACGATTTAATTTGCGCTCTGCCATGCGTCGCTCTGGTTCGTGGTTGTGGTGCTTTTATCCTGGGTACAGACAGGTCTGGATCTATAAATGGCATCGCCACATCGACAAAGAAGTGAGCCGAGGAAGTGCGACGAAGGCAAAGAGAAAGGTGGAGGAAGGAGGGATGCGAAATTAAAGTCCCGGCCAATATAAAGCTGCCTTCTCATAGGCTGTCCCCGACCTCGACAGCGTGGTCTACAATTGCCGACAGCAACCCAATATATGGTTGATGTGCGCCGTGTTTATTGTGTGTCTTCTACTGTCACCATATCTTGTTTCTGCCTGAGCCAGTATCACGCGTGCAAGGTGCGCCGTCCAAAATTATTTAAAAATCATATCGGCGGGCAATTTACGGCTGCTCGGGGTGTCAACCTTTTTTGCACACTCGGTCCGGCTCAGGATAAAGGGCAAATTCTCGGTACTTGTGGAGTGCCAGACAAAGGAAGGACGAGTTGGGAAGGGTGAAGACAGGAAAAAGGGCGAGACAAGTGGATAGTATCAAAGCTGCAATGCCCAACGTCGACTTCGGACGCCCCACGAAGACTGGCAGCCCCCCCACATCCCCAGATTGATGTGCCGTCTTGGACAGTCTACTAAATGGCGTCGGGAATCAAAAAGAAGACGCAGATACAAGCCACAGAACCCGGACGCAGAACCCGGCTGCTTCTAGCGAAGCTTTCAACTGCGTCATTTTGAGACGAGATGTAAATATCGACTGCTATCTGAGACGCAAACAATATACACTCGATCTTCTACCTCGTTTCCTTAGATTTATCATGTTCTTTTTTCGTCCTTCTTGCGCGTGATTTGCTGCGAAAATCTCCGGCACACCAAATTCCGCGCATATTTATTGGTTTGTTCCCGGCACTTATTTACGGCTATGCCGTGTTGGCTGTGTCTTGCGTTGTGTGATTTGCTATGTGAATGGAGGTAAACTTCCGACGTAGCGTTTTAAGCGTAAATAAAACACCATTTTCAAAGGATGGTCCATCACGATGGCAACCGTGACTGGACGAACAGACGTTTTTGGAGGAGAAATAACCTATAAGCAACAGACACCGACGTAGACCGTGGTTCGACTATAATCGTCGACTGCGACAAAATAAGTTTCGTAAACGGTCGATAGGTTACATAGCTGTATTGTGTTTCTATTGCCAGGGCAGTGTTGATTTGGTGGTGATGCTTTTGTTTGTGATATTCGTACCCGAAAGTCTAATTTAACCAGGTTCCAAATACACTGTGAATGAGCAGACGTGCACAGTCATGAGTCTCTGTCTGAAGGCGTAACAACCAAACAAGAGTCACTGTTGCTTGCATTCAAAGCCGCCACACTAGAAACTGACGACCGTTTGTCGCACACAGGCCGAATCGGATACGGTAAATCTATGTTTCCGTGATCTCCAATGACTCTCCTGGCTACTGGTCGCGTCGCGCACTTCACTTTGTTTGTACCAATTGGCACAACGGATAAAGTGTTGGATCAGCCATTTATCCGATTTGTTTATCCATCTTTCTCCTCGATACTATTGTCCCTGCTATCCTGTTTTAGCCCCTATGTTTGGCTCTATATATATTGCACGTCCCTTGTAAATACGGCTGCCAGAGGAAACTCGGAGCACAACAGGTACGCGATTTACGGGCTGCTGATTACGCGGATTCGTTGATTGCGACTGCGGAGTTGTGGTAGAGACTTTCGAGACAGACAAAAGGACGTCCGTAAAAAACGCATATTTGAATTTGTAGACATAACTTTGTTGACTGTGTTCGCTGTCCCAAAGCAATAGTGTGAAACTAACGCCTTTTCACCGTCACACCAATCGTCAATATGCCTTGCACGTCGGCCTTTTTGGCCACTCTGGGCGTTCTTTGCACAGCTGGCTACACAAACGCCCAAGCACCCGCCGGTGCACCGTCCCTGTCACTGTTCCCATCGCCATGGGGCCAAGGAAGTGGTGATGGTTGGGACGCGGCATACGCGCAGGCGCGTGCCTTTGTGAGCAACCTGACACTCGTCGAGAAGGTCAACCTGACGACCGGCACGGGCTGGGAGTTTGACCGTTGCATCGGCAACACGGGGTCGGTTCCACGACTGGGCTTCCGATCGCTGTGCCTACAAGACGGGACAGTTGCCGTAAGATACAGTATGTCAGCCGCTGACCAACTGGACAAAGGACAAAAAAAACATAAATACAGGATATTAATCATCTCCCAGCGGACAAAAACTCTGTCTTTCCGGCCGGAATCAACATGGCTGCCACTTTCAGCCGCAGTCTCATGCACCGGCGTGGCGTGGCCATGGGCGCCGAGTTCCGTGGCAAGGGCGTCGACATTGCGCTGGGCCCTGTGGCTGGTCCCCTGGGCCGTGTGCCGGCAGGTGGCCGCAATTGGGAGGGCTTCTCTCCCGATCCGTACCTGACGGGCGTGGGCATGTTCGAGACTGTGCGCGGCATGCAGTCTCAGGGCGTGATGGCAACAGCCAAGCACTACATCTTGAATGAACAGGAGCACTACCGCAACAATGTGGACGTAACGATTGATGACCGCACAATGCACGAGCTGTATTTGTGGCCATTTTCTGACGCCGTGCGTGCTGGAGTCGGGTCTGTCATGTGCTCGTACAACAAGATCAATGGCAACTACAGTTGCGAGAACAGCTGGACACTCAACTATTTGTTGAAGAACGAGCTGAACTTCCAGGGATTTGGTATGTTTGTCTAATGAACTGGGACTATAAATAACAGTCCTTTGAGACCGACGCTAACAACCCCTCCCCCAATAGTCATGTCCGATTGGGGCGCACAGCACTCGACAGTTGAGTCGGCTCTTGGTGGTCTTGATATGGTCATGGCTGGCGAAGGCGGTCCACGGGGCAGCATTTACGGCTCATTCTGGGGCGGTGCGCTCACCGAGTCGGTGCTTAATGGCTCAATTCCTGCGTGGCGTGTCGATGACATGGCTGTACGCATCATGGCTGCTTACTACAAGGTAGCGGCCGTGAGCGGCAACAAGCCGCGCCCAGACATTAACTTTTCGGCCTGGGTGCCGCCCAACGTCACAGTTGGTCCAGTGTACTACCGCGCCAACGCCAGCATCGAAAAAGTCAACTTGCACGTCGACGTGCAGGGAAACCATGGCGCTTTGATCCGCGAAATTGCCGCCAAATCCACGGTCCTGCTCAAGAACAAGGGTGACAAGGCGCTTCCACTGCAGAAGCCGGCGCGCATTGCCGTCGTTGGTGAGGACGCGCAGGACGCGCCCGGCGGTCCCAATGCCTGCGTGGACAACAAGTGCTACCGGGGCACGCTAGCGACCGGGTACGGGAGCGGGCCGGGCAACTTCCCGTATTTAGTGGCTCCGGCCCCGGCGCTAAAGAAACGTGCAGCTTCCGACAACACGACAATCGTTGAGGCACCAAACAACTGGGACCTTGATGCCGCCCGTGCGGCTGCAGCAGGTGCCGATGTTGCGCTTGTCTTTGCCAGCGCCGACGCAGGCGAGGGCTACATTACGATCGACGGCAACACGGGTGACCGCAAGAATCTGACGCTGTGGGGCAACGGCGACGCGTTGATCAAGGCTGTTGCCTCAGTCAACAACAACACCGTCGTTGTGCTGCACACGGTTGGCCCTGTGATTCTCGACTACGCGGCAAGCCACGAGAACATCACCGCTATCTTGTGGGCGGGTTTGCCTGGCCAGGAGTCGGGCAACGCGATTGTGGATGTGTTGTACGGCGATGTCGCGCCGCAGGGCCGGTCGCCATTCATGTGGGGCAGCACCATCTCGGACTACGGCGCAGAAATCATGTATTCGTCGCCAACACCACGGGTACCCGCGCAGAATTTTTCCGAAGGCGTGTTCATCGACTACCGCTATTTCCAACACGCGCATACAAAGGCGGTCTATCCGTTTGGTCACGGCTTGACGTACACGCGATTTGACTTTGAGAACCTGACCATCCGGGCTCTCGACGCGGAAGGTGCAGCATCAGCCCCAGCACCCAGTAAGACGACAACCGGCCCGGCTCAGACATTCGGTGCGATCAATAGCAGCGTTGTCGCAAACGAGGTGCCGGCTGGGTTCCAGCGCATTAAGCCGTACATTTACCCCTGGATCCTCCGGACCAACGATTCCTCGCCGAACTGGCCCAAGTCGCCGACGACGAGCAATGGCACGGATCCTCGCACAAACAGCTCTGCACAGGCTGTTCTACCCGCTAGCGGGGCACCCGGAGGAAACCCGGGCCTCTACGACACGGTGTACACCATTGGCTTTGATGTTCATAATCGTGGGTCCGTGAATGGCACCGCTGTGCCTCAGCTCTACGTGCAGCTTGGCGGCCACGACAACCCATGGGGTGTGTTGCGTGGCTTCGACGATGTGGCTGTGGCAGCCGGCGGGCGCGTGCATGTGGTTATGAACCTTACACGACGTGATGTTAGCAACTGGGATACGACGGCACAGAACTGGGTAGTTAATGACCTGCAAAAATACGTGTTTATTGGTCGGTCCGTAGTGGACATTGCGCTGAATTCGTCGCTTCCGGCGCTGAAGCTGTGAACATATTCACACGGAGGACATATACTTAAGAAACATCACGTTGATAGTGGGTCGAGCAAAAGAAGTTGGTGTTAGAATTTTATACAGAAATGAACGAACAGCAAATAGAAAACCTTCGGCGAAGAGGAAAACTTCGAGCTCGGATCAGGAACGTTGGTTACGAACCGACATTGCAGAAATGGCCAGGCTAGGAAAAGAAATAAACCAAACTGTTACCAGAACAAATTGTTTGTCCATAGCTTCCTTATCGCAGTCTACACATCCTTCGCATAGCCACTTGAGCGTTACACTTGATGAGAGTGCTCATTGAGGCTCTGCTCACGGCGCTGGAGCACGTCGGGTGTGCAGAAGGCTGACTTTTTGATAGGTTTCTTCTTTGCCGACTTTACTGGCACCTTCGTTTGTGCCGA